AGAGAAGGGGAACAAAGAGAGGGAGAACTTTCCACACTGAAGTGGATCAATTGCTCCTAGATGGGAAATTTTGTTTCATGTATTGACCACTGAGTGTATGTGAAAGAGGAAGAAGCAACCTCTGCCCGGTGTCTTTAACCTTTGCTCTTGCTTCTTACCCTTAGAGTAGCTCATGGAAAGAGGGGTCTCTGGGCGGGCAGCTGCATCAGCATCACCTGGGAACTTTTAGAAATGCAAATACTACTGAATCAGTCACTCTGGCTGTGAGACCCCGGGAGATCTGTGGCTTAACAGTCCCTCTGATGATGATTCTGATGTGGATGATGTTTGAGAATCCCTGCCCCAACTCCAGCAGCCATAGAAACTAACAGATTAGGTCCCCTTTGTTGACTCTCACACACTTCTGAGGATATTACAGCATAGTCTGAACCGTGCAGTAGTCAGAAGTGTGTTCAGTACCTTCTGGTGTCAGGACAAAGACAGAGGCATCCCATTCCCCACCAGCTCACCTAAATGTTACTTTACTTTGCTTTCTATTTTTTTGGCAGGGGCCGGGGTGGGGAGTTGTTTTTTGAGACAGGGTCTCACTCTAGCTCGGGCTAGAGTTCAGTCATGGTTCACTACAGCCTCAATCTCCCAGGCTCAAGTGATCTTACCACCTTAGCCATCTGAGTAGCTGGGACCACTGGTGTGCGCCACAATGCCTGCCTAAGTTTTTAGTATTTTTTTATAGAGATGAGGTCTTGCTATATTGCCCAGGCTGGTCTCAAACTCGTGGCCTCAAGCAGTTTTCCCACCTCAGCCTCCTAAAGTGCTGGGATTACTAGACATGATCCACCTTATCCAGCCTATTTTGTTCTTTCATTCACAAAGATACACCACTAAAGATGCCAGGGCCATTATCTCAAACCTGCCCCAAGTTATTACAAGGCACATCTCAAGGTTGGAATAAGCTCCTTTTCCCAAAACAGACCGGGGTTCTGCCAGCACATGGGACAAATCATGCTGAGGATCAGATACCTCTTGTCCTTCTCTCTCCCTCTGGGGAGCCACTAGGCCTGCAGGTGCCCATTTTAGGTACAAAGAACTTTGTAAGGCAGGTGAGCACATTGTCAATGTGAAGTAAGTACCAGTGTTAATCATAAGGATGAGGGTGGTGTCCCTAGAGGGGGTGTTTCATAAGGGGTTAGAGAAACTCCTGTTCCTGGCCGGGCACGGTGGCTCACGCCTGTAATCCCAGCACTTTGGGAGGCCAGGGTGGGCGGATCACAAGGTCAGGAGTTCAAGACCAGCCTGACCAACATGGTGAAACCTCCTCTCTACTAAAAATACAAAAATTAGGTGGGCATGGTGGCACATGCCTGTAATCCCAGCTACTTAGGAGGCTGAGGCAGGAGAATCGCTTGAACCCGGGAGGCGGGGGTTGCAGTGAGCCAAAATCACGCCATTGCACTCCAGCCTGGGTGACAGAACGAGACTCTGTCTCAAAAAAAAAAAAAAAAAAAAGAAAGAAAGAAAAAAGAAAAACTCCTATTCCCAGCTTCCCCTAAGCTTTTGGGCTCTCCTAGCATCTTGAATGAGGCCTGGCCTGTGTGTTCATGTTGATGAGTCTTCATAGCCCCCTGATCTACCTGGGTTGTATGTGTGTGTGTGTGTGTGTGTGTGTGTGAGAGAGAGAGAGAGACAGAGGGAGACAGAGAGAGAGGGAGACAGAGACAAAGACCGAGACCACGAGAGTTATCAGCTTGCTGGCTCTGGGTTGAATACCAGTTACCTTAACTGTGCCCCTTATTTTCCCTTGACTCACACAAGCCGCTTCTGTTTGATTCACATAGAACCGTGAGAAACAGTCTCGTATGTGAGGCTGTGTTTTTCATTCTATTCAGTCTTTGTATATTCAAATTCTTCTAGTTTCAGCTCTTGCTGTTCTGCCAGATTTCCATCGCATTGATGGCTTCTCTGAATTAATAAGTGTTTTGCAATTGCTGAAAAGTTTTCTACCCCCAAGCACTGGGACTTATCCATATTGATTTTTTTTCCCTTTCTCTTTCCTCTCTAGCTCCTTCTTAGACGTTGTATTTTGTAACGTGTTAATAGAATTTTTCGTTCGCCCTGACACTTTATCTATTCAGGAGGTCTTTGCGAGCCCCATTGTACAGCGGGACTACAGAGGAAAGAGCTCTATTCTTTACGACAATGGTTGCCCTAAAAACATATACAGATCCTCCCCCACGCTCACCAGGGTGGAGCGAATGTTGAGAGGGCAGTATTAGAAAACATCCAAACTTAGGAAGGAAAAGGGGAGCCAATTATGCACTGTTGAAAGGAGGTTTTGAAAATACATTAAAAAAAAAAAAAATCCCAAACATTTATTTCCTAAGGGACTCCGAGTCCCAGTACCAAAACGTGGCCAGCACAGAAGGGTGGCTGTTTTCCTTACTGTTAGGCATTTTCAGTTCAAAATAAGGATTTGGCAAACGTCTTGGAAAATATGGAGATGGGTGCAAAACAGATGTCACATTTACCTGCGTGATACCCGGCAGGCCTCACCCCCCACCCACCCACACCCCAGGCGTTCGCATTCCTATCGAGTCCCGGGGTCTGAGTCTGAGATACCATATGCTCGAGTGTGACTGCTCTGTGTACAAACACACCAGTTGATCTTATGGTGATTTTGCGTGTGTGGTGCATGGGAGGCGGAACGGCTGTTGTGTATGTGGCCCCAGCAGGTACCTGTGGGGGGCTCTTGAAGCCCGCCCAAAAGGAGTTTCTCCTGCCTTGGATGGGCATGGGGACAGGGTGGTGAAGGAACACCTGTTTTAAGGGATCTCCAAACTAACATTGCCCACTCCCACCATCCTGGTGCCTGGGAGAGAGAGGGCAGCTCCCTGCTGGAGGAGCCACCATGCCAGGCCATTTGCCTCCCAGTAACTGACTTCAGAAATGGGGAGCAGAAGGGGAAGGCCCCGGGAGCCTGTTTGTTCAGGCTTGGTTGCCTAGCAACAAAAGGGGGCCCTGACTTGAGAAGAGATTTTTAAGCCAGGCCATTCCCTTTGAGGTTTATGACCGGCTTGCCTACCCCCATCTTCCATTCTTACCTTGACTTTGCTCTTCCCCCTATTATATTTGATCGCATCTAGAAAAATACATTTGATTTGTCTGCAGGCACCATTTTAAACCTCGGTTTATTGCTTTGCCCAGTGTCTTCCCCTCCATTGGAGATTGTAGTCTGGGAGGAGTGAGGCATGAATAGCCCACGACTGCTTTTCTCAAAGGGATTAGCGCCGGCCCCCAAGCTCATTTGTGAGCCTTTGAGTGCACATCAACGGTGCTCGGTCCTTCTCAGCCACAGGCACACAGTGAAATTGCTCTGAGGACAGGGCCCCCCCGTTAACAGTTTTACCCACCCACAGCCACACGGGTTGGGTTGTGTTTTTACTGTCAACCTTGAGCACAGAGTGAATGAAGAGAGTAGGCTGCACGCTGGTCAGACCAGGTGCCCTCCCCCGGTGAGCAGCTGAAGGGTGGGGACAAACGCCTGTGCTAAAGATGTGTACTCTGTGGGATAAAGGAGTGGGTCATAAATACTCATAAAAGGAGTGCATTCCAGAGCGGAATCTGGTTCATTCAGTGTGAGTTCCTTGAGCTCTATGTGGGAGTTGAGTGTGGACCCTGAAATCTTATTGCCAGAAATATCCAGAAGGGGTTACAGGATGCGTGGGAGGGGTCTGGAAGGGATTAGCAAGAGAGACAGAGGATGCCTTTGGTATTTTATTATGTTCTTCTCTTTGATGTTTTTAAAAAGGTCCTAGCATCAATATATTTGTTTGCTGGTACTGCCATAATTAGGTAACGCAGATTGGAGGGCTAAAACAACAGAAATGTACTTTTTCACAGTTCTGGAGGCTAGAAGTTCAAGATCAAGGTGTGGCGGGGTTGCTTTCTTCTGAGGCCTCTCTCCTTGGCTCGCAGATGGCCCGTCTCCTCCCTGCGTCAGCACATGGTCTTCCCTGTTTGTGTTTGTGTCCTAATCTCTTCTGATAAGGACATCAGTCATATTGGATCAGGGCCCACCCTAATGATCTCATTTTAAGTTAATTACTTCTTTGAAGAACCTCTCTCCAAATACAGTCACATTTTGAGGTCATAGGGGTTAGAACTTCAACTATGAATTTTGGGAGATAGTTGAGCCCATAACAATCAGGATGTTCAAGCTTCATTATGTATCACTAAAAACAATTCGTATATCCATTAGAAGGGCAATAATTAAGAAAGCTATGGCTTCTTACGCTGGGAAATATGCATCGGTCAAGATAGTATACATGCTATACTAACCTGGGAATTGTTTGCCATGTTGTAATGTCACGGGTTAACAAAAGGAAAAATTCCATATACTATATGATTTAAACTATATTGAAATAGGTGTAGTTTTTTCTTTCTTAAAAAAAAAAAAAACAACTCTAGGCCCAGAGCAGTGGCTCACACCTCTAATCTCAGCGCTTTGAGAGGCTGTGGCAGGAGGATCACTTGAGCCCAGGAGTTCAAGACCAGCCTGAGCAACACAGTGGGACCCTGTCTCTAAAAATAAATAAATAAATAATTACAATAAAAATAATAAAAATAAAAATAGCTGGGCATGTTGTAGTTCCAGCTGCTCAGGAGGCTGAGGCAGGAGGATCACTTGAGCTCAGGTAGTCAAGGCTACAGTGAGCCATGATGGTGCCACTGCACTCTAGCCTGGGTGACAGAGTGAGACCCTGTCTCCAAAAATAAAAAGCAGACCCTGAAGGGAACTATATAAGATATTAACTGTAATTGTGTGGGATGGAAAGGCCACTTTTTTTTTTCTTTCTACTTTTTTGCATTTTCAGATATTTTTTGATAAGCAACTATTACTTCTATAATGGAAACTACCCCCTCACCCCTCCCCCATGCATATAATGTTTTGTGTACTTTCTTAAAATTCCTAAAGCAACCTTTATTCTATATTTGTTTTGCAGGTGGAAGATGCAATGCTGATGTTTGATAAAACTACTAACAGGCACAGAGGTAAGATTACCCCAGTGTAAGAGGGTTGAGTTCACCCTCTCCTGGCCTCTCTCTCTGTCATCCCCAGTCCCACTGACAAAAGAGCCAGTGAGAGTCCGGAGTCAAGCAGGTAGAGGTGACCATCCTTTGAAGATCTTTATTCACAGAGGGTTCCAGTAGCACGAAGAGTTCCAGAACTGGATAGTTGGAAAACCATTTCCTTCTGGCTTGGGAACTCCTGTTTGGTTATGCAGCCATCCCCAGCACACACATTCAGATATACCTCTCTAATCCCGCCTTTCTTGGTCCCTGGCTAACCTTGGCACTAAGCGATCCAAGGGGAAATTATTCACAGCAGTGACTCAATTGAGTTATCAATTTGCATTGAAGGAGGTTCTTTAGGAGCAGACTGTCAATCTAAAGAGCCAAAAAATCAAAATAAAACTTTGTAGGTTCATTGGGTACGTAGCGATTACAGCCTTGGGAATGCCCCATGGGGCCTCTGGAATGTGTAGAGGGCATCTGCACTTAATTGTATTTTTCCCTGTGCTGCTTCTGTCCTGTCCACTTTACAAAAAACGGATCTTGACCTGGAGTCTATGAACCTCTGAAATGACATGCAAAATGTTGTATGTTTATACTTTTCTTGGTTGAAGATCCCTAGGTTTGGACAAATTCTCAAAAGGGTCTCCGGCCCTGCCCTTAGTCTCTTCCTTCTCCAGAAAGAACACATTAAATTTATTGCTTTAAACAGAAAAGTTGGAGGCATCTAGAAAAGTCCTCCCTGGAGGTAGCAGAGTCAAAGGAGGTGATGACTTAGCGTTCTGTTCTCCGGAAGCTCAGGTTTCTGGGGTTCCTATTAACAGGGTGTTAATGAGCAGAGCTTCCTAAGGGGGTGGCAGGAAGTGGTGTGCTGGTGCCCTTGAGGGAGGGAGCCTGCGAGTGAGCAGCGTTTCCTTGCCACTTGGATTGCATTTAGATGTTTCCTGTGTTGTTTACATTCCTGCTGTCACCTGTGATTAGAAGCAGTTACCCAGCGCTGACTGTATATCTTTCCTGTTTGGAGAAGGCAGAGTGAGTGAAAGGCAAGAACGAGTAGAGTGGGAATCGTTGCTGGAGGGGCTGGGAGAAGGAGGGGGATATCCTGAGTGCGCCTGGTAATCTGGCTTCGAATGCATCCCTCTACAGCATCCTCAGAATGGGAGAGTTGAGCGTTGGGTGCATAACAGTGGTGTCAAGTGGTATTTATGGAGGGAAGAGATGGCAGGGGGTGGAGGGTGGGGAGCAGTGGAGAAGCAGGGAGAGAAAGGAGGGGCTTGTAGGTGTGGAATGATTGGCTTTGTCCACCGTATTGCTGGGGAGTGAGAGCCCAGACAGTGAGATGGAGTTGGTGCCCGTGGTGGGTAATTCAGGATTATCCTCCATCGTCATCCACATTCTGTCGATCTAGCTTTATGGTTTCCAAGCCCGACTTGCAGATGCATCTCCTAATGTGACCTTCGCAGCAGCCCCTGGAGGGTTGTTGTGACATTGGGAAAAATCACTTAACTTCTTTATGCCTCAGTTGATTCATCTGTAGGATGGGGGTAATCATAGAACCTCCTCACAGGATTGCTTGGAGAGTGTAATGCCAAGCATCTAGTCAGTTGTGCATAAATCTTACCTCTTATTATTAGCATTATCATCACCTCCATCTGGTTGGCAAAATAACCAAGGCTCAGAGGAGGCAACTGAGAGACCCAGAGCTGAGCAGGGTCTCGGGACTGTTGATTTCAAATTCTGCTTTCTCTGCTGTGTCCAGATAGTATTGTGTTTGTTAAAAGGAGCACTGCTGGCTGTTTATTTTCTGGTGGGTGATGCCCATTTGAATTTGGCACCTGGTGTTCAGTGTTAGAATTCATAATCCTGGGAGATTCCAGAGTTGCCCCCAGGTGCTACTGTTGTCCTTTTAGTTTGCAAATCAATGAAAGTATTTTTTGATCTGCTGTGTGTCAAGCCCTGTGATGGGGGCTCACACTGGTATCGTCTCATTAACTCTCAGAGCTGGGCAGGGAGAGGACTGGTCATGGTAGAGGTGGGTTTGAAACGCAGGACTTTGGATTTCTGGGTGGAGGCCCAGAGGATGTGCCAGGAAAAGTTCTCTATTTTTAACCAGATCCCTGTTGCTGTAGGTGAAGCCTCTTCCCTTTTTCCAAAAGGGAGAAAAGAAGGTGCTGGGCCGCAGAGATGATGGGGTGGCGGTTCGTCTGGGATGGGCACGGGAAAAGTGTGTTGCCGTTGTGAGGTGGAGGACGGTCTGTTGGAGGGCCCGCTGCTCAGAGTGGCTTTGGGACGTCATTGTTGGCTCTCCAGGAGTCCTGGTGGGCACTGGCAGGAAGGAGCATGGGCAGGGCCTTGGTGCATGCACACTCCTGCCCCCAACCAAGCCAGGACCTCTGCGAGCACCCTCGGACCTGCCAGAGCTGAAGATGCCTGCAGTGAGGGCAGGACCAACTCTAAAATGTGTGGTGCCCAGAACTAGAGGAAAGGCAGGGCCTCCTATTCAAAGATGATTGAGAAGCTGGCCTGAGGGGCTGCAGCCTGTGGAGGGGGGATACATGCCAGGAAACCTCAGCAGAAGAGAGCCGCCATCCCACTGCCCTCCTTCTCACCCAGCGCCCTCCCACTCCGTGTTGCTGTTTCTGTGTGGTTGGGAGCACCGGCCCATACCCATGTCCCACCCCCTCAAGATACCTGAGGAGGCATTTCTCTTTGAACTGGGTGCTAAAGCTGGTGTAATACTTCACTGCATTTAGAACATTTAAGGGAGTGAAAAGAAAATTGTTTTTTAAAAAGAAGAACATATCACAGCAGAGGCACAGATCATGTATGTGGAGTGAGCCAGCCGCACATCTGTGGCCTGATGGAGTGTGCATTTGGAATCAGGTGATAAGCACAAGGAAATAAAATCCTCATGCAGCCACCTTGCCCCAACCTTACCTTCACCTCCTCGGTTCCTGCTGTCCATGATCTTATCAAGAGGAAAGTGCTGTAGTGGCAGAAGTTGAGGACATCTCCCTGGCTGGTGTCCTCTCCTGCTCTCTTCTTAAAGAGACCCAGACAATCAACCCAGAGTTGTTGTCACAGCACATGCTTGGCACTTGTCCTCAGACTCCTAGCCCAGCCCTGTGGGGTGGCCTGGGGCCTCAACTCATCCTCACCCCAGGAATTTTGACAGCTACCTGTGTGTCCTTGGAGCTGTGTGACATGAGCTGTGTGACATTTGCTGCTCAGGGATAACCACAGGGAACTGGGCTTAACATCTGATGGGCGTCAGGTGGGCCAGGCTCCCAGGCCCCATTCGGTCTCCACTTGCTGTTAGGAGCCACAGGTCAGAGCAGAATTTGCACTCTTTGCTCCCACTAGTCACCTCCTGTCCCTGCTCCCTGTTGGTCTCTGTTGGGGCAGGGATGCCCTCAGTTCCATCTGCACGGCGGCAGCTTGTATCTCCCATCCACAGGAGCACCAGCCTGGGCCTCACTAGCGCCACGGGAGAGAACCCGGGACCTAGGAGAGAATGAGCCTCCTGCAATGTATGTCTTCCACCCTGCAGGCAGGAAGAGGGTCCCGCGTTCAGTCTGTGACTCCCAGTGGGTGGAACCCTGGAGATGTGGGGGCTCTCACCTTTCTCCTTACAGGCAGGCCTTCCTCCAGCTTCTGCTGCTCCCATGACATTTTTCCTGGGGCACGTTCCCTAACTCTCTGAGCATCTCAGGTTCTTCCTCTAAAAAATAAGAGACCTGGGATTGATGAGCCCCAGGACCTGAAGTATGTTTCTGGCCTTTAGCTTTTTAACTGTGAGAATGTTCAAGATGAATTCCTTTGCTATTTGTGTGAGTAAGGAGGGAGCGAGCAGTTGTTGCAGCTTGGGTTCCCTGGGAAGCAACTCTAGGAAGGGATTAGCAAGTGGGAGGCTTATCCAGAAGTGCTCTTGATCAGGAGAGGGCAGAGGCAGAAGCTGACTTGAGATGCCCTTCTGCAATGGGGTGGTCCTTCAGGGGTCGCCAGCTGGGGGTGGGAGTGGCATCCTTGATGCCTGCACGCTGGCCTGTCATCGGGTACAGCTCACCCCATGAGGCTGATGTGACCTGGGCTTTCCCCGGGGAAATCCTGGAGGGGACTTCCAGCTGGGGACTGCCTTCCAGCAGCACTCCCAGCAGCTGGGAAAGAGGTCCTTCATTCCTGAAGGGGATCTAAGCATCCTGACGCAGCACCCACTGTGATGGTGTGGGGAGTTCTGTTGCTTTCTAAGCAGGCTATGTTAGCAATCTTGATAGAAACAGCCAACACTTTCTGAGCACTTACACACCAAGTGCTTAGCACAGTGCTGGCACCTACCATTGAATCTTGATGACAAACAGCCATAGGTGAACCGAGCTGCCCAGAGTCACACACTGGTCAAAGCAGAGCTTGGACATAAACCCAGCCTGTCTGACTCGGAGCTCAGGCTCTTACACTCTGCAGCATTGAGCAAGGCAACTGGTTAAAGCAGAGGAGTTGGTCATTTTAAGGGTTTAGTATTTCCCCATTTTGTGTCCTTCTCCACACCAGCCTTCTTGCTGGATGACCATGCTCCTCCATTTCCACTTGGAGAAACTAAGGCACGTAAGTTTGAAATATTGCACAGCAGATTCCTGCAGCCAGATAAGGAGCAGAGCTATAGTTAAAACCTGGATGCCAGCCGGTGCAGTGGCTCACACCTGTAATCCCAGCACTTTGGGAGGCCGAGGCGGGTGGATCACCTGAGGTCAGGAATTCGAGACCAGCCTGGCCAACATGGTGAAACCCTGTCTCTACTAAAATTAGCCAGGCGTGGTGGCACATGCCTGTAATCCCAGCTACTCGGGAGGCTGAGGCAGGAGAATCGCTTGAACCCGGGAGGCGGAGGTTGCAGTGAGCCAAGATTGCGCCATTGCCCTCCAGCCTGGGCAACAAGAGTGAAACTCTGTCTCACAAAATATAAAACAAAAACCTGGATGCCT